GCCGGATTGAGGTCCGGCACTTTTTTCCGCCCAAAGGAGGATCCAGGTATATATATGAAATCACATCTTATATTGTTTTGGCTATACTTGCCACGTTCTAATGTCACACAACGCGCAATGTTTGCGAAGAAGACTGTTTTAATAGACATCTTAGCAAGGGTGTTTTAAGTATGCGCGCCCATACTGCCCCAGCCGAGCCAAGGCATCAGCCCTGGAAGCCAACCAGCAGGAGGAAGCTTTGGGTGGTTCTCTCTTCCCCCAGCTGAAGCACAATGCTGGGATCGCCCTGTTGATGTTGAGCAACGGTGTACGTTGATTGTAGGATCGAAAGTCTATCCCAGTGTATAGGTGGCCAGGCTCCTACTACATCTCGGGAGTGGTTTTGATCTTTGGGGATTGTGTATATACGTGAGCGCTTGCGCCACTGCCCTTAGGCAAGCCATTCAAGTTAAGGAGAAAATGATAGATAGCAGAATTAAGATCAACAAACAATTGTAATTGATTTCTGTATCAATCGATGAGTTTATATTTAAATTTGATTTGGTGGCGGTGGATTGCTTGGGCAGTGTGAGTCAACACGTATATATCTTTTTGATCTCATGGTCGGTCGGGCAATGAAATTTGCCTGGAAGCCTGTAGAGGCTGTGAAGACTCTCTGTCAATTGGGTGGAAGAAGACTGCGTAGAGCCTGCCAACGGTTTCGTGGAAGGGCTATGCGGCTATACCCGACATCGATCGATCTGCAAGTCTTGTGTCTCACAGTCGTCATGCTAGCAATCAACAGCATGTGCACGCATGGCCCTATATTTTATATATATATAAACCGATCGATGGTTGATAACTTTTGGGAGTTGAACGCTCTTGCGACTCATCGTACTGACTGAGATGCATAGATATGATCTTGCAACTTTCCCCGGCGTGACTCCTACCCTTCCACGACTCACTGCTCTCTCCTGGAGGCGCTGGCTCTGCAGGCTCCAATGCCAGGCCTGCAGAGAGGAAACATCTGGAAGGTGCGTTCCAAGTTCATCAAGGTTAAACGTGGGGCTGGCTAACTTAGCTGCAGGGGTGGTCAAACGCGCTCAATGATGCACGTATACACTTGACGACATCGATGGATCATCCACTGCGCATCATGAGAGTCAATTGTGGAGACGTTTGTCAACTGCCGATTTGTGGTGGTGGCAGCGCTTTTGAAGGATCAAGGTCTATAAGGCCAATCTTGCAGGAACTAGGGTGCACATGGATGTTCCCAAAGAGTCACAGTTCTTGGACCGGCTCTTCTTCCAGTTGAAGCACTTGGGATGTCCAAAGGTCAGGGTCTCAAATAAAAAAACAGTCGCTGGCAGGCACATGCTTTCACGAACCATGTTTCTAATTTCTGCATGGTCGCTGTTCAAAAGGTCGATTATAGCATGAACATTCCCAACCACTGCCCCCTTGAATCAATGATCGAGGTTTTGCCCGCTGCATCCTCATGATCATGTGGACCTCCAATCTGCCCTACACGGAGGACCGGGATATGGTCTCTGAGTCACCTCATGACAACGCTTCTTTTTGCGTGAGTGGCTAGCTGAATTTATATGCATGATACACGACAACCAATTTGATCCGAGAAAGTGAAAACATGCATATAGGAGGCCTCTTACTTACGAAGCGCTGGCTACATTCGAGGATGTGCAAATGCTCGAGTTCTTTGCTGGTCGGGCAAACCTGTCAAGGTGCATGCGAGCTTCGGGGTATACAACGGTCAGCTTGGACATCCTTTATGATGAAGGAGCCAAGGAGTCCCACAATACGAACTTCATGGATATCAACAGTCCTTCTGGCCTAGCGTGTTTTGTCTTCAGTTGTCGATACGATACATGGGCCCACGCAGGTTCGCTTCCGGCAAAACAAAAAGAATCCTAAGAATTGTTGGACGGGCACTTGCCCAAGGATCAGGGTCTTTCCATCTTTTCTCTGAAATACCAGGAGGAGCCAACACACCCTAAAGGGCAATTTTTTAGGGGTGCCCTTTTTTAAGCCCTAAAGCAACCCAAAACGCTAAAAAAAAGGGCACCCCTATAATTGCCCTTTAGGATCTCTGAGCCTTTCTTGGTATGCTTGAGGGGTCATCGAACTTAAGGATATGGTTTGCCACTCATGACCCTTGCAATTAGGATCGCGATTTTGAGTCCGATATCTTCAAATTGAACTGGGAATCGGCCACATATCCTTTCCCCTCACCACCACATGAAATATTCCACCGTTTCCACCGCGTGCTCAGGCTTTGCATCCACACCTTGCTCAACACCAGCCCGAAGTTCTTCGCCGCCTTTGCGGTCAATTGTGCCAGTTGGTCGGCCATTAATCAGGGTACTTCTGGCAGGGCTCCGTGTGGTAGCTTGGGGATCCAGCAATATCCCAGCGTTGTGGCAGCCAATTGCATGGCGTCCAGGAACCTTGTATATTCATGATATTTTGATGCAGGGTCCAGTTTATTGATTGGATGGTACTAGCCAAAATTACAATAATTGGACTGACCCATCCTTCTTCCAGGAGAGGTTGAATCGACTTGTAACACCTTTTGTTTTTATGTTCTGGTTCCTTTTGACTGGAGATTGGTTGCAAGGACAGTGCTGTTACTCCTCCTCGTGACGGCTTTGGGAGGTGCGTGGTTCTTAGAGCAACCCGAAAATTCAGTGCTTGAGTTCTTTCCGCCATTCCTGAGCCTGATCCTGAACATGTTTCAAGCCTCCGGGAGGACTGCAGCATCTTATCCCTCAAGTCTTGAAATCCTTTTGCATGCAAGATAGAAAATAGCTTTTTAGGGGAAGCCCCAGTACCTGCACGCAGGTCCTATTTTAAATCTTTTCATCGTATGTCCCACCGATCTAAGTATCCCATATATTACTCCGAGGTAGTGCGCGCCAAATGGTGGATGCAAAAATATGGCGGCTTCTCCCCAAAGCCGCACTATGCATGGTCCAATGCACTGGCGGTCGGGTCTTTGAATACTGGGCCGTGCCGAAGAGATGATAACCCTTTCAGGGTCCAGACTTGTGAGAAATATACGAATAAGGATGGCAAACAGTGCTACAAAGGCACAAGTCGCCTTCGAAAGACTGAGAGCCTAAACTCAATTCAAAAGTGCTTGTGATTTTGGGTCTCGAGTAGGTCGCTTGCACCTTCATCATGGCGCTGTAGCCCGTTTGCCAGCTAAGGGAGTACCCGGTACCATTTGCCTGGAAGCTTGTGGACCTCTACAGGGAGTTCGTCGATCACCCCCTGGGCCGGGCGCCTTTCCCAAAAGAGCACATAGAGGTGCCCGGAGCGATGGCCTCATTTTTGGAGATGCCCGACGACACTGATGCCCTTCAATTTGCAAAGATCGATGAAGTGTACAATTATCTTCGTCGAAATAGGAACTTGCAAATTCCTGATCATTGGAAGGATCTAGTGCCAAGACCCATGTGATCATATCACCGCCTTCTCATGGATTCTTGCCATTTCGTCAAGTATGTTCAGACTTGAACAGAACGATGTGATCAATTTGAAGTTTTTCGGTGTTTTTATGTAAAAATATATACTTATATGGTGAAGAACCTGGTTCTACCTCTGGTACCCCGTATTTAACCCGTAGGGAACCCGTATTTATTGGAACCATCGAAGAACCTGGTTTTTACTAACCCGTATTTAAACCGTAGGGAACCCGTATTTAACCCGTAGTAACCCGTAGGGGAAATATGGGTTCCGGGCACTACATCCTGATTGCACATTTCCCGCGTTTTTCAACTCGGATTGCACGCTACAGGAAAACATAAGTTCAACGATGCTTTGAACTTGCATACTGTGGAACAACAATTGTCACCTTGCAGCCCATGAAGAAATCTTCATACATTCGATCGGTTTGCTTTGGTTTGCAAATATATTTGGCTTAATTGTCAGAGCGCTTATAGGTCTCCAGGCATCCAGGGTTCAGTTGCCAATGTCGATGACGACCACTTCACGGGTTTGGAGCTGCAACACTTTGAATGATGGTGTTGACCAGCTACTAGCTGAAGCTAATCGGATTGAAGATGAAGAACTGCAACTCGAGAAAATGATTCAGGACCGTAAGACAAAATATACAATCATGCAGTATCTTTCATCGGTCGATCTATAAGCTCATCCGCTCAGAGTGCAGGAAATGGAATGTCAACAGCTTTCAGGAACTCACCCAGCGGCAGCTCATTTGAACTTCTTTGCGTGTATACATGCGTTTCAAAACAAAATTCTTAAGCCATGTCCGGTTCCCCCCAATTCTCTGCCAAGGAAGTGGCGACCGAGGCTCCTGACATCGCTTCCGTGGAAACCCTGGAGGCCTGCACAGGAACTGGGCTGGTTGACGGGGAATGACTCGGGATATGACTGCGTGGAGTATACTTCAACAAAAACATCAAAAGTATTTTTGGCGCAGGCGACAAGTTCCCAGCTTCAGCAGGCGAAGGAGGAGTTCAGTATGGTCAGCGGTGTAGCGACGGCTGCATTAGTCCACATGCCTCATGAACCTACTCCCCAAGTAGAGGCTACTACTGGTACACCTGGGTCTGCTCCAGCTGAGCAAACTTCCCAGAATGCGATCCCTGAAAGCCCCATCGAGACCGAGCGTCGCGGTGATGGTGATGACGACCAAAAGGCTGTTGTTGAGAAGGAGCCTAATGCCGTTACTGCGTTTCCATAAGTGATCTCAATTGAAAAAGAACTGCGCAAATGAATTATCATCGATCGATTAATACTTACTTTTTCACATTGAACGCCTGCTATATATATGCATGTGCAGGAGGATGCTACTACGAGACCGGTGGCTACGCCAGCTCGACCCGAGTCAGGGGATCAGACATCTAATCATGATGGAGAAGCTTCGGAGAAACGTGTTCGCACCCGCCAGGCCCGCCTTAAGATTGATGATGCTTTTGGTATCTCATCACCTCAGTATGATGGGCCCCAATTCCCACTGTCCAATGGCCGCTGAATGCATGCGGCAGGAGAGGTTGGAAGAAGCTGCGAAGGCACAGGTTCGCCGTCTTTGTACTTTGAAGAAAAGGCGCGTGGCATTGAACGTCCCAAACTGGCTGATTGAAGAATACCAAAAAAGACCAAAGATCGAAACTGCCCGGATGCTCATGGCCGCCAACTTTGATAAGGCCGGCCCCCGGGTATAGACATGCATGGTTGTGTTGCATAATGTTGTTGCATGTACACATGTTGTGGGAGTCATGGTCATTAATTTCTCAGCACCCCTTTGTAGCTGCTGAGTACTAACAGCCCATGCAGGAGCAGTTCATCAACACGTTGGAGATCATCGTTAAAAAGCAGTTGTCCCAATCCATCACCATCGAATCCCGGTGGGTGAGTGAGAAGGAGATGCGAGATGACCTGAAGTGGACTCCGTGCCTTGTTTCCAAACGGCCGGGTTTGACAGATCATGTTTATAGAATATGTCCCAAACTTTTGCGGGAATGGTTCAAAATGAATGAGAGACAGTATACACTCTGCAAGTTGTAGTGAATCGAGTTGATGTTTGATTTCAAAACCACACGACTCATGTGCTATTCGCCGTTGGTCCCCAGGGCCCGCATAGCGGGAGCAAAGAAGGCATGCGAGGCAAAGAGAGCCACTCACATCAGGCACGCCTGAATCCTTCAAGCGGCGCCATATATATGAATGTTTCTCCACCCACGCATTCATAGCCACGCGGGGTCTTAAGTATAAGCAGCGCGTGACTCATGACAATGCACCATATTGCGCTGCACCTGCAGGAAAAACCAGTATGATGGCGTCGAAGAATTCTACGTGGGCGTTCGCGAGACAGGAGAAAGGAAAGAAGAGGAAATTCAAGAAGAGGTAAAGAAGTCTACGGAGAAGGCACTTGTTAACCAGTAACCTTTGCATATATATGCACGAAGGGTCAAAACATTTGGGATGATCCATGCATGGAAGCAACCGGAAACAACCATGTATATATGCATTTGACCGGAAACATCCAGGTCCATTTTATGTTTCAACCATGCACGCATGCTTGGATTCCACCAGCGCTGCCCCACAGGTATCTGACAAGCCCGCCTTGAACCATGATGCATTCTCTGGCTTGGAGCGCCTGAAGGACAGGGTGGCTGCAGATGGCAAGGCGCCATCAGCAGAAGCAAGTGCCGCCAACCAACCGATTGAGGCCAGTGAATACATTTCATCCTTAATTGATAGATTCTTATAGAGATGAGTTCAAAAGTTTGAGACAACAATTGTTCGTCAATCACCATGCCAAATAAACATATTGCTCCGTGCAGACCAAGAAAAAACTTCAGAAGTTTATGGACTCGATCGTTCAGAAGTCTGGGAAATGCAGAGCGCTAGTCCGGGACATCCGCACAGAGTACTCCAACAGCCCGTTGATGGTAAGGCGCAAATATCATGCATGCTGCGTGCATGTTGGATCTCAAGCGTCATTGCCACATATGAAATCTATTTCGATCGATCGCTACGTATTTGGTAAGATGGAGATCCACTTGCCCCGCCAGGCAAGCACAGGACCTTGAGAACCGCGTGAAAGACTTGGACTCGCAGCACGAGAAATGCAGCAACGTCATGGCCAAGGGGGAGATCCAAGGCTTCCCTCCCGAGTTTCTCCGCTTGAAAAAATATACCAGTGACCATCAAAAGTTCATGACAACATGCATGCACAGTGACCATGCGTGTTCAATGAACAAACGCACGGGCCCGGAGCACTTAAAATCCTTTTGCCGGGGTTGAGGTTCGTGAAGTCGGCAACCACGGCCATGAACGATGCCACTTATGTGCTGGGGCCTTATCTTCAAAGATCGAAATTCTGGCAATTCCCACGCATAATCAATTATTTTTGCGACTATTTGATCTGTTCAAAGGAGGTCTCCCATTGTAACACCCTGGCCCAGGTGCTCTGGTGCCTGCGCTGCGGAGGCGAAGCTGCGGTCACAACCTCAATGATCCATTTTTCAGTGGATGCACTCACAAAGCAAAAGACGTTGAGCGGCAAAGAAAAAAGTAAGCAACCAATCAGTTCATTCGGTCAGGAACTGCAAGAAGTATGAGAAGAAGGACAATTGTGATCATGAACCATCACGAAAGGACAAGAAGTCCAAGAAATCCAAGAATAAGGACAAAGATGAAAATGCTGATGAGGGTGGGAAGAAGCGCTCCCGTCCCAAGGAGAAGGATTCCAACAAGGAGTCCAAAAAGAAGCGCTAGATTAGCGTTATTTTCCATTCTATCTAGTGGTGAGGATTGCCAATGGCAATCTACAATCTGACAACCACTGGGCACTCATATAGTGCTTTGTTGTCAGGAGTCATTCTCGTTGGGATTGGGCCCACATGTGGTCAAACAATTTGGGCGCGTGTTGTATGACCTGATTTTTGTGCTGTATATATCATTAATCTTTTTTACTTGAGTAACCGGTCTCAAGATCATATGCAATAAAATGAGCAGGCAGTAGACACGCCGATGCAACGATCAATGACGCCTTGGGGATCGTAGCGGGTAAAAAAATCAAACCCGATCTTGATTGCAAGAGCTTCCACTCCACCCTCCACTCCACCCTTGGCCCAGTCCAGCTGGGCCACTATATATGGCTTGCACTGCGTCGCACGCCAGGTGCCGGCAAAGCGTTGAAGACCTTTGCGGGAGACATTGGAGAGGGGGTCCATGACTCAATGATGGGTGGCGGCTCTGTCGAACTTGAAGTTTAGATGAACCGAAAGATTGATCACTGACACCGCTACACTTCGACTTCAGGGGTCTGAATGAACGCACACATCCCAATCCATAATTGGAGTTCCACGATCAAGATGCAAACTGAGATCTGAATGAACGCACTGGCGCCCACAAAAGAACCATCCAGATTGAACGTGTTAGGCAAATGGGATCATGTGTTTATATTTGACTGACATGCATGCAAACAGTTTCAACCATAACGCAGCGCTCTGCGGTGGGCAATGGACGATGAAACTGTGGAAGAGGAACTTATTGATCTCCTTTCGTGCCACCGCTCAGACTCTTGGCTTTAAAAACAATGGACCATGGAAATTCTTGAGAAACTGAATTCCAAAACTTCCGTTGGTTCATCCATTGAGGAATCCGAAGGGCCTTTCCCATGGAGCTCCGTGGGTTGCATCCGAACCAGATCTGTTAATCAAGAGAACCGCTCCTCTTTGCCCAGCTGGATGGCTTCACTGCCACCCAGTTTGCTATCCAACCAGGGTCTCCAGGCCATAGCTTTCGAAGCTGCGTCCATGGGATGCATCCATTTCAGGATCCCTAAAGATCCGAATTGGTCGGCGGGTCGTGTGCTTCAACACTGCATCTCTGTTATTCAGAGTTTGTTCAGCAAACATGAACCTTTGACTTTCAAATTTGGATATTCCCACAATCCGTGCTGGCGTTGGGAGAACGACTTGTACGGATATAGGCACGCTAAAGAGAAATGGTCTGACATGGTTGTTTTGTGGGTTTCGGATGAAGCATCTGGGCCCGCTATGTTGGAAGCTTCCCTCATCGAGATGTTCAAGAGTATCTAGATTGAATGTTCTGCACATTCATGCATTGATTCTTTTGCTTTTCCATTTCCTGACAATCAACATGGGTTGCAGCTGCAATCGGCCGGCCAAGGTAGACCTGGGTGCAAGAACCTTCGTTTGGGAGGTGACACTGTGGATACATCCCGGCAAGGTCACGGGGCCCACATGTGCTACATGGTGTATAGATCTTTCAAGTATAAACCGCAATGATAGTTTTCACCGGGATCAAAGCTATACAAAGCAATCCTCAATCCAAAGCTTTTTGGATTTGGTGGATGCTACAGCGATGTACTTTGGATAGCTGTCATGGCCACAACGCAAAGCTTTGTGTGTCTGTACATCTCGATTTGTGCCAGGGTTGTGCGCAAAATACGGGAGACATCGTTGTTTTGGACGCACGGCGGCGCAAAGCGTAAGCGTAGAAGTGTGAATTTGCAAGCGTGAAAGTGTCAGATGTTTCTTTTTTTTCGAGACTGTGATCTGTACTTCAATTTCACGGGGTTGTTTCAACACATCGACCGGCTCTAAGGCCTCGTCCTGCGTTTCTGCCGTCCGGGCAGCCAAAGGTGTGGTAGCTGACATTGGAGAAGAGACAGCTTTGCGGAGCAAAGGACTCCTTGAACTCAGCAAATGCTCAGTTCAGAACAGTGAGCGAGACACAGAAGTGGTTTTTAGGCAATTTGAACTGCAGATCCCCATACCGCTCAGTCCTTTACCAAAAGAGCCAGGAATTAGGTTCACTGGAAACTTTCGTGCGCTGAGACTTCGTGACTGGTGCAAGTGGCTGGTAGATCTTAATCTGTGGCACGTTGTTTGCGGTCTGAGAGAAGCAAATGCTCGGCGGGAATGTGCAATTCTGACAGAGTTTTGGCAGCGCTTTAGAACGTTGCAACCATGTCACCAGATCTGGGAATGCTTCGCTAAGAACAATGTTGACCCTGGACACTGTTGTCCAATGATCGTCCACGGCGACGAGGGGCGTGGGCGAAAGAAAGCCCCATTTTTAGTGATTGCATACAGTTCGATGATTGGTTTTGGCACTCTAGCGGCGAATGCAGCTCGCACCCATCGCAGTTACACGCAGATGCGACTGAACTATTCTGAGTCTTCCCACGTGCATCGCTTTCTAACTGCTGTCCTTCCAAAGATGCACAAGGACGAGGTGGCGCTTCAAACAATCTTCAGATTCATTGTTGAGGACTCACGTTGTTTGCTTGAAGAAGGCGTTCAAAGCATTCATGGGGGACAGTTCCACATGGCAGTCCTGGCAGTGACTGGTGACTGGGCTTTCCTGGCCAAAGCCGGGGCCTTGTCTCGGAGTTTTTCCAACGTCGAGAAACGCCCTCGAGCACTTCATTCGCAACCGAAAGGTGTGTGCCATCTATGTCACGCAGGAAAGCGTGACATTCCTTTCGAGGATTTTAGGCAAACGGCCGCCTGGAAGCAGACTATGTTCTGTGACGACCAGCCCTGGAACACTCCACCCGTGTTGTTGGGCCTCCCTCATCAGCCCAGTCGTCCCGCTGCGCTCTTCACTTTTGACCTTTGGCATTCCCTGCACTTAGGGTTAGGGAAGACCTTCGTGGCCAGTGTTTTTGCGTTGATTTCAGATCGGATGACATCAACCAGCATTGACGCACGATTTGAGGAGCTCAGTGACTCTTTCATGCAGTTCTGCGATGAATTTCGCTTTGTGCCCTACGTGACTACAATCACCAAAGAAACGGTGGGATGGCCAGCCCGGAATACATATCCGAACGGATATTGGTCGAAAGGCCATGTAACGACCAGGTTCCTGAAGTTCATCTCCCATTGGCTGGGCACACACGATGTCTCTGATTGCGAGATGCTGACTCTGGCCAAAGAGGCCGTGGATTGTTTGGATCGATCTTTGGAGCAATTGTATCGTTCAGATGTCTGGCTTGAACAGAACATTTCTCGCAGCATTGGTCATCATGGCTTGCGGTTTGTTGAGATATATGGCCAATTGGCCCGGATCGCTTATGGTCGCTCGATGGCCCTGTGGGCGCTGATGCCGAAGGCACATGTGTGCCACCACATCTGGGACGAATGCAATTCTGCGGGGAGGCGGCTGATCAACCCTTTAGTATTCGCTGTTCAGATCAGCGAAGATTACATCGGAAAAAAAGTCACGTCTGGCGAGGAAAGTGCATGCCAGTCAGGCAATTGAGCGAGTGTTGCAACGTACATTGGCAGTGGCGCACATGCATTGGACGAAGTCAGGATTCTTGAAGGGCTGAAAGATAAAAAAAGAAAAAAATCTCTGTGCGCGAAGAAGGGAGTGCAAATTGTGGCCATGAAAGGGATGTATATTTAAGTTGATTAATTTCACTGATTTTGCCACATTGGCAAAAACCCATATTTTCAAGAACCTGGTTCTTGAATGAAGAACCTGGATATCGCCCGGGGCCCTACATTTTCTCAAGACTTCGTTGGTTCTGGTTGACCCATATACTATACCTTTCCATGCTTCAAGACCAGCAATAACTTCCTGTCTCATTGATCATCAACAAAAATCCCGATCAAACCGTTCATATCCATGATTCCATTGCTGTAAGACTAGCTGCCAGAATGGCCTCTCTCCTCCAATTCAACGACTCCAGACCTCACTTTCACTCATCGTCCCTTGGTGCTTTCCCCGATCTTCGCCTCCGGCGTGTTGGCACCCGACGGCCCGCAGGACGGCGCCCGCGACGGGCTCCGCGAGTTCTGCGCCGACGGCGCCGCGGAGGGCGCCGCCGACGGCGCCGCGGTGGCGGGCGCCGTGCGCGGCGCGGTGGGGCTTAGGGGTCGGTGCGTACCTCGCGGCGCGGCGGCGGGGGGTCCGGAGGTGTCCAAGGGAGGGGTTTCGAAAGGTTTAGGCATAAAGTTTGGGCGACGGATGGGGTTTGGATGGGGATTCGTCTTGGATGTCGCCAGCTGAGATGATCTATTCTGGGGCTTAGTCCCTTAGCAGCGCGAAATCCGACAGATTGATATGTAGCTTCCAGATAGGTTCGATCATTGGTGAGCCAGGGAAGCGGTCTTTGAAGAGCTGCCTTGTTGATTCATCGTGGAACTGCGCTCCTCGGATCACAGGAAAAAGAGTAGTAAAGAACACCAAAATGAGTAGTAAAAAGAGTAGTAGTAGAAGAGTAGTAAGAGTAGTAGGAAATGAGTTATAAAATGAAATAAATCATGTATATACACCAAACAACAGGGCAGCCTTGCAAAGTGAAGCTGTCAGTCTGTCAGTTGGTTTGTACGCAGGTTCGATGTAGGGTGTAGTTCAGTAGTTCAGTGACACGTCCGTCACATGACACGTTCGGTGCGGGATTTCCTCTTTTGAGGCCCTTTGACTCTTGACCAAACATCACTTGAAACATGCTGCAGCTGGTTGGTGGTTTCAACTCATTTGAAAAGTATTAGTGGATTGAGAGTAGATGGCACAGACCCCAAGAGGTGGTTTATATGAACCCCCATGTAAAGGACATTTTGAGGTCTGCGCCATGTACTCTGAAACCACTGCAGATCTGACTACAATCATCCCAAGTAATAGTGGTTGAACATGAAGACATCTGACAAGAACACCAACCCAACAAAGAAAAGAACACAAAATAAACAATAAACAAGAACTTACCCCACCCATTTTTGGTGCTCCTTCTTTTGTGGTCCTGTGTCTTTTCTGTGCTTAAACCAATCAGGCAGCTATGTGAGCTCCTCACCGTGTCTCTTTTTCGTCCATCTTCTGCCGTGCCACGGGAAGAGACCGACCGCTGGAGGAGGCGGCTGCCTGACGAGCTGAAGTGGAGGACTTAGTGATCCAACGGAGTGGTCCGTTGGGGTGGAATCCTTGCTGTTGAGGAAAGAAAAGACAAACAAAACAACCTGGAATCTGAAAAAGCTCTTGGAGTTTGTGGTGTCTTGCTGGTATCTTGGTGATGCAGGACTATCTGGACACTAGGAGTCAGTCCAACCGCTGGTCGGTTACTCAAGTTACCCAGCTAGGGATGATGGATGAGTTTTCCTGAGAATCCTTGGACCCTGCATGGTAGGGGTCGGACCCTCCATCAAACCTTGGAGGCCACCTGAGGCTGGTCGAACTCTGGACTGGTAAGCTCCGAACGATCAATCGCTCTGAACGGTGATCCACCTCTTCTCTGGACAAGTTCGCTGGAAACGGTTCAGATCCTCCTCGATATGAGGAGAAGCATATGCAGGATGAAGATATGAGCGACCCGGATGCGACCCTGCCGTGCGACCCTGAGTTGAAAACGGTGAAAAGAGCTGCCAGCTGGTATCTATACAAACCATTCTGGGACCGGAGCAAGAAGGTGAGGAGCGATGCCTGGTTGCTTAGGAGATGGATTAGTGTTCCAGGACAACCAAACAACAAGCCTTTAGTAAATCAGTAAATCCCTGGCAAATCCCTGCATTGGGGAACACATTAATTATCATTGTTTGTCACAAGATGTTTGAAGCAGGCGACCACGGCACAATCAATGTCAAATCTGACCTAAGTATTGTATGTTCAAGAAATGCAAAACGAAACAGCCTCCTGCCTACCTCCAACATGGGAAGCAAATGGAAACATGGTGCGACGGTCACAACCTCTGCTGGCCTCCCCCGTGCTAGTTTTTCCCCACCATTCCCCACCCAACAGGATTTTAGATAGACACCCTATCCCATCGTGACCTCTGCTGCAGCGCATCATCCAGAGATAAAGCCAACATCAAAGAACAAACAATGACACACGCACACGCATAATGACCAAAACAAAAAAACACTACTACGGCAAGCAAACAAGAAGCAATGACTCAAAAAAACAACTCTTCCCTATGGATCCAGTCGTACCCTCTGAGGTTCGGTGGGACTGGGGTGGGTGCCAAAACGTCGGGTCCAGGAAAGTACCGAACCTGAGGAGGCAACCTCCTGGATCCCTAGTGGCAGGATCTGTACCTCTTTCATCCTCTTTCTACTGTCGCTTCGGTTCTACCGTCGACCCTCACCGGTCGCCCCCCGGACCTGGCGGTCGCGCACGGCGTCCTTTTTGCTCCGATGGTGTCCGCCCTCTTCGATACGTCAAGAGACCGATGTCTTGGTCGGATGGGTCGGATGGGTTGAAGACTGGAAAACGGTGCCCTATTGGTGCCCTAATATGCCGGACTTTTTGACTAATTGTCACTGGCTAAATGCTCATCATGTCTTTCTCTTGTCTTAGTTGAGATGATCCTTTTTTGGTCCACAAAAAGATCGCTAGCGGTAGCGATTTCCTCTGTCGCCAGATGCAGCGAATGGGCGTGGATCAGTGGTTCCCAGGGAGACCTGCAAACGGCATGGGAGACCGACCTCCAGCTGATGGGGTTCATGCACTACAGCGTTCACTCATTTGATAACAAGCCCTATGGATCCAGTCGTACCCTCAGAGAAGGTGTTTGGGGTGGGTTTGGAGGGTCCAGTCGTACCTTTTGAGGAGGTACGCCTGGATCCCTAGGGAAGGATCTGTCTAGTGCTGTCCCAAATAGGAGAATCAAACCAGACAGAATTAGTGCACTAGACAGATCCTTGTCTAGTGCACTAGACTTTTCTGAATTTTGTTGATGGGTTTCAGACAAAATTCAGAAATAGGAGAATCAAACTCATCAATCAAACGAGGGCACCGGAGAATTTCTTCAACCCTGGAATTCCAGGGGCACACAATGTTCATGTCCAGAAATCAGCACAACCAGGGATGTATAATACCCAAATCTGATGATGTTGACTCCATAACAGGGGATTTCGGATAGCTTCTGAAGATAACCTATTCCAAACATGACAAACAAACCGCGCTTCAACCCTCCGGAAGCCTGTTCGGTGCCTTAGGCAACCTGCTCACTTTAACCGCGTCGCACGGGCGGCGACGGGCCGTGTCACTGCCGTGTCAGGCCGTCCTGGGCTGCAGGAGCGCGGAGCTCGAAAAGAGGGGTTCACAGGAACTGCGGAGGAGGGGAAGCCAGAAACCAATGGCTGGATTGAGTAATGAATTGAGTAATGAATATTTCTCACGTGAGAAGCAAAACAATGAAACATGGTCTATAGGCTTGAAAGGTGATCGTGTGAGGTCGTGAGGTCTTACATTCGGCGTGACGCTGCTTCCTCTGTCATGTGTCTTTGACTTTCGTTTTGCAGGTCATGTCGTTCTTTTTTGTTATTTTTGCATGTGTTTGGCCCGGAGAAATGAGCCTTCTCCCATCCGGCCAATACACGACCTGTCCTGCACAAGAACGAACCTGCTCGTCCGTCAAGTTCACAGGTTTGATGCAAGAACGGATCTCCACAGGTCGGTTTGTCCATATGTCGTTTCTTCGATTGGCTTTCTCCAGTGGATGTTCAGTGCCAAAAATGGACCACCAGTACAGTACAGTCAATGCAGCGAAGCAAACATGATCATGTTTCCTGTGCGTTGCGTTTTGGTCCCCCTTTTTGGTCCCGTTCACCAGGTCTATACGGTCTTTTTTTTGGGTATCGGCCCGGTCTACACGGTCTTTTTTTTCGGTATCGGTTCGGCGCGGGGGGGGATCTGTGGGAGCTCCCCCTCCCTTTTTGGGATTCAACGCTCTAATGCTCCAAGTCTCAAACAAGGCATTAACACTTCCACGCCTGGCCCGACTGTCGGGAAGTTCTTTCTGACCAGGGTATATGGTCGGTGCTCTAACTGGAACTTTTAAAAAACATAAATAGCACCTGTTCGCTACTAGGAACAAGTGTAACAAGTGCCTTACTAGTAGTAACAAGAAGCAATTAATAGTACCTGAACAAACCCACGCCTCTCTGGCTTCGACACATCGAGATGCAGAGAAGAATCAGGTCGAGGAGAATCCTGCTCCGCTATAAAGCTTATCAAACTCAAGGTTGCCGAGCAACCGAAATCGTGAGAAGAGAAGAACGTCTGGATATTTCCACGCACTGAACGCTCTAACAAGAACTGCCAACAACTCAATGGATTCTCCACCCAGTGGGTCTCGCACCACCGCAAAGCAAACTCCCTCAGTGCACGAGAGAACTCAGTGCCTACGCAACCAGCACGGCGATGGCGCAAGGAAGGTACCACCTGTCACGCCGCTGATAGCTGGGGAGGAGTGAGGAGTGCAGCTATGGGTCAATGCGAGGAGACTGACCGGAAACCATGGCATATAGAGTGACCTGTCGTGTGGACCGAAAAGGAGGTCATTCGAATGACCTGTTGTGAAACCGCAAGGCTCCAAAACTGAGTGACCCCCTGGGAAAGCGGGCCTAAGTGATTGGCAAGATGCTGTGATTCATTTAAAGACCACCAACATGAAGGTATAAAATGAATGCAACAATTGTGGACCTGTCAATTGAGCACAGTACGAGAGTTTGCTACCAACCAAAAACATCATAAGAGAGTAAAGGGATTGCTCCATGCATTCAGTCTTCCCCCAAGATTAACCTTCCGATTTGAAAACAGCTCCTATTTGGAAGACCCATGTCCTCCTGGACCGCCCAGTGGGGCGAATCCTCTCAAAGTCTCGGCCATCGCTCTTGGGTTGGCACCGCTCATGTCTAATGAGTGGGCCGGACGAGTCTCCAAAAGTCTTCGCCAAAGAATGACAGAAACACCCAAAGTCTTCGTGTTCCGTTTTGGACCCGTTTTTTGGCTCAATCAGATCCAACCATATCTTTTAGCTCAGGTTGGAGGCCATTCATATCGTTAGGTCTCAAACGCCCTCCGATCAACGCCTCGACGTCCGGTGCTGCGCCGGTCGCAGCTTCGACGCACGGGCGGGCCTGACTCTGCACGCGTCAGTGGAGGCACTGACCTGGTTGGAGGTCGTGGTGGGTGGAGCGGCCCGAAGTCGGTGTGGTACGATGTTTTGCACGGCAAGCTATACCAGCAAAGGTTGAAGAACCCGAACTAGACTATCCTATAGATAGCCCTGGTGACGGGTCCTAGTTCACTGTCCACCTCTGGTAGGGCAAACAGGGGGGGTATTTACGGCAAGTATAGGCACATCTGGGAAAGCTATAGCCCAAATGGATTGAAGAACCTCGTCATATGAGGGGTCGGGTTGACATATAATCAAGAGTCTATTTCTAAAACATATCCCAAACACTCCATGTATGGCATATTTACCTATATTGGGGTGGTTTGGGGGGGTCAATGTAGGCATATATGGCATATTACATGGAGTGTCTGGGTATACTAAAACTTCACTCATTCTTCGCTTCTGCCCCATCTTCCAGCATTTTCTGGAGTCCCTGAGAGTCCGAGTCATCCCAGGTCCCTTGCTTTCTCGGGGCGACATGCCACTTAGGCACGGGTTTGTAGTCCTCGCCACTTACGGAGGACACCATAGGAAACTAATGGAAACCATCTATCCCGTATACACTCCGTATGCCACTCATATATACATGGACCCCTAAATATGCCAGGCATCGAGTGTCTGGGATAAGGAAAACCAAGGATTGACACCACCATTACTCTCTGACCGATTGGATTCTCCAGCCGTAGCGTCCGTGAGCGAAGCCGAGCGATGAGCGAATCCTGGCAGCGAACACGACCTCTTCACTGTTTGGTCAAAACACGCATGTGTAATTATTACATGCATGCTGTTACATGTCGACTGTCCGTAGACTCAAATGAAAAGGTAGTTATTATGGGACCAGGACATATGGTTCGCCTCCCTACCAATCAAGTAGGCAGGCTTAAATTATAGAATAGGGTTTACATATTATATGGTTTACATGGGTGACTTCCATCACACCGATGGAAGGGGCGTCTTGTCACATCAAAGCCCCTTTTTGCATTGGCGGATTTTGGGCACTCGGAACTATGACATGGCACAGGAAATCACTATGGCAGCACTGAGGAACAAGTGGATGGCATGGCCCCGAGTTTCTTTAGACCAATCCAGCTACCACCGTGGGGTGAACTCACTCAAAAAGCGTCTGTGAGGGCCGTGCGGTGCCACCGTCACGTACTGGGGAACCCGGGCTGCCACGTAGCCCACCTTGGAAAAGGCAAAGGAGGTGCTGTCAGTCCATGATGTGCATGAAATACCAACACCATTGACCTGAATTCATCCCAATTGCAACTGTTCCTATGTCATTTAGGCACGGTGCCCCTGTGTCTGGTCAAGAGAACCATGCCAACTGAGGGACCTGCTCACTCATGGTTCCACTGTGCAGCGCTGATGTGGGCAGTATTGAATACATGGAAGTGGAGTGAAAACCCCCTTGTTCGTAAAGGAAAGCCGTCTTCCGAACTCGGGGCTATGCCATCAACTTCCATGTTCGTAAAACAGAGGGCAAGCAATGCAGCATGGTAGCAAAATCATTTCCAACACCATATGAGTTGAGTCCAAGACGTGGTGAAACGCCCTGCGAACCGCGCGAACCATCCACCACGCGATTTTTTGGCACGATACACGATCCAAACCGAACAGGAAGTGCTCCGAACATCAGATGTTTGGAACAAGGTGTTCCCTTCACCAGGAAGAGTGGATGCGTTTTTGAGCCACGCCCATATATCTTCAGGGTCCATGTTCAACCGACCCGCCGTGACTCAGAACATCCGTGGCTCCCTGCGCTCTGGTAGAGACGATTGCCTGTGGACGTCGTCGTCTGGGTGACCTCGAGCAGCAACTGTTACTAGCTTTTGCGTGTTGCAAGGCCCGAGCAAAGCTCTAAATATTTGGAATCAACATAAATCCCTGGTGGCACAGAACATGACACATGGCAGCTCTCTGTAAAGCCAACAGACACATTAACGGGGGACCATCTAATTACTTGAGATTCTGAAAGCTGGATTTTGACCAGAATAATCACTACTACAGGTCCACCTCACCAGGTCTTGGAAGTCCGGCTCAGGATGCGGCTGTGGTGCTGCTTGAGATTCTGGGAAATTTGAGACTAATCGCGGTGAGGCTGGTGGTTGCAGTGCAAGACGTTGTAGTGTTGCTTGACGTTCTACTGCTGGTAGTAGTGCTATCGAACTCCGTGGTCGTGCTTGGCATTGTGCTCGATCTTTTGCTGGCTGAAATGGTTGTCCAAGAAGTGCTTGTTGTGCTTGCCATTGTGCTCGCGGTCCTTGGCTTGGCTGAACCTACACTCCAGAACCTTGGCTTTCTAGGAGCAAGAACATCAATGGTATCTGCTTATAGGGATCCTAAGGGGTTCATCTGCTTCGTGCGTCTTCATCTGCGGGTTCATGGCATGGTCCAACGCTTTGCCTCTGAAGATAGCGCTTTGTGTTGGACCAAAATCAGTCAGTCTCTTTGTCACCACCATCAGTCAAAGTACTCTCCCGACTCTCCAAACATGGAGGAAAACGCTCTTCCAAATCCACCAAAACATGTTTGTTGGAGGTGGTTTCACCTTTTTTGGTGAGCTTGGCCTGAACCGAACGAGACGCATGTGAGAATTGTTCGATTACAGTACTCAATTGCACAAGGCAAATAACATAAGCAAACCAGAAAAACAAAAAGAAAGACCATCGGATCCAGGTGTCACTTGGCTCGTCGCTGTGCCACTGGGCTCGATGTCACCAGTGCCAGTGCCGGAGGTAGTGGTTGTGGTGGTTGCAGTCGTTGCGGTGGTCGTTGTGCTGCTGGTGCTCGTCTGTGTGGAAACCTCCAGTGTGGAGCCCAATACATGATCCAAGTGACCTCTGGGTGGACCAATTACAAATGACACTTTAGCATACTTTAGCTGGATCTACTGATTGGATTTTTCCACCTAAATCTCTAGCTGCACCATATATATATATATATTCACGCATTCTACACTGCCACAAAGCATCCGAAAATAGAAGTGAGTCCTGTCACACCTGAATGTATCTGAATATAAGAAGAAGCTGTTTGGACTTTGGATCTCTTTGGAGACCCGAGGATCTTTGCTCTCGCGAGCCTATTGCGAGACCTTTGGAGCCCCGCCCGGTAGATCAAAGAAATGACTCAACGTTCTGGATTCGGTTTTTGAGCACCTGGTCATAAGCTGGTCACCTGGTTTTGGCTGTTTGGCGAGTGATGTGGTGCTGTTGCCCTGGTGCTGTTGGCTGGCTGCACGCCCTGGTCCGACATTGGAATAACCAGTCAACTTGGGATGACGCCAGGTGGTGATGCCATCCACGAAAGCATGAGGATTCCAGGGAACATGTAGACTCTTAGATGAATAACCCTCCCAATCTATATTACTGAGTCCAGGATTTAGGAGGGTTATGTAGAGGATTGATAACCCTCCAGGCTTATGTAATGAATAACCCTCCCATATGAAGAGGATTGAGTCTACATTACATGCATCAAAATCTGAGTGCAGGGCAGTGTGAGTGTGACTGCCCGTTGTGGTGGCCTCAGCAGTGAATCGGATCATGTTTGGTTGGATCAAAGCCATTGGCTGGTGCAACCTAATGTAGACCGTTGGTTGCTTAGACCCCGTCAGAGATATGAAATATGAATAAACACATGGAAAGTGGGAGGTTGGCTCCCCAAATTGTCAATCATCTACTTTGACCAACTGCATGGTGTTTTCCACTGGCCCAATATGTCGAGGAGCATCCTGAATATGTTGAAGAACATCCTGAAACTGAAGATGTACTTTGGTTCCACTTTCAAACCCAATAGTACTTTTACGAGATACTGGTTCCTCGTTGCAAGATCAAACATCAGCGCAACAACAAACCAATAATTCTTCTACTAACTGTAAATACGACTAGTACTCCTAGTACTACCACAGTACTAGTACAGTACTACTAAGACTACTACTAAGACTACTACTAAGACTACTACTAAGACTACTAGTACTCCTTCTCCTCCTCTAAGACTCCAGGCTGTATTCGTGGTCGTCCCAGAGGCCTCGGACGTCCACATCACTCCGAACGGAAAAGGCACCGGTTTCCTTTCGAACGGAGCGAAGCGGAGCGGTGCCGTGCCGAAGTTCCTCCGGTGTCCCAAAGAGAAAAACCGGTGAAAGCGAAGGTTTCCTGCTTTTTTCATGTTTTTGTTCGATGGCGCTGAAGTGATGAAGCTGTTCTTTGACTTGTCCCAAGGTATTTCGACTTGAGGAGGGGTGAACGGAAGGTAGCCGTCATGCATGTAGCATGGGGAACGCAACCAATCATCTGGCAAAGGTATAAATGTCGGGATGATGATGATGATGATGATGATGATGATGATGATGACGACGACGACGACAGTTAATGAGAATGATGACGATGACGATGACGATGTGAACCTGAGTCGGAAAGCATTGCCCCACGCTGCGTTAGTAATATTATATCAAGAAGAATTGGTCCCAAAATGGATGCCCAGCTAGCAAACATCATAAGTGCATCTTAGTAAAGTTCCCATTTAACCCTTCAAGTGATCTACTTGATGGTGCAAAGCCCACGTGAGCAAGGCACTGTTACATACGATATGGACTTCTGAAACCTCAGCATCAGTTGTTGGTGCCTGCATTGTGTCAAATGGATTCTAAAACAACGCGCAGATGTTGAAACCCTGTCCCGTTCTCAGTCTTTCTCACACCTGTGGGGTATGATTCAGACCAACAAGGAATGGGCCCTGTTGGCCCCTTTCTTGCTTTTACTACGGGCTCCTGGCATCGCTACTAGGAGCAAGGACGCTACGAACGGGGCTCCTGGCATCGCTACCTGGAACCATGTTCGCTATTAGAAACAAGAAATACATCGAATATATAATATATATATATAACTGTTTGCCTTGAAGACTTCCCACTCCGTGACCGGGTTCCCTGTGCGATGATGGTCTCCAGGAGATCGACCAAGGAGACCGACGATGGACACTAGGAGACCGACCAAGCTACACACCGGGTTCCGAGACCCACATGGCACCGGGTTCGGAGACCCACCTGCACCAGACGAGACGACGATTTTCCGGTACACCTTAGTGGTTTTCGCGTTCCATGGGTGTGTTTTTTTGGCGGGGCGTCCATGGTGGACTGGTCGGGCTCTATGGTTTTGATCCTTGGATGAGGCTCTGAAGGGGGTTCTCCCATTCGCCAAGTGGCTGTGCTTGTGGTGGTCGTCACCTGATCACACACGCGCGCCTCACGACCGAGAATTCAACGAGCAGTCAATTCCCTGAAACACCAGCGCTTCTAGCTCTGTGACTTCTGTGATGGAGTACCAACCATCCAAACATATCCAAACAAGATGATTCTCCTGTCAGATGGATTGTAGGAATCAAAGGATGCGTTTCATGTAGTTGAGAGAGCAGCCTTCGTTGGCCGCTGCAACCCCTTGGAAGAGCATGGTGGGTCGAGGCAACGGCCTAGAAATTGAAATCAAACGTACAATTATACAACGCCATTAATCCTGCCGATACTCATCATACAGGGGCTGGTAGACCCGTGCCGTTCTACTCCCAAGTGTAAACGGGTGGAAAGGCATGATAAGGTTAACCCATACCAAGCCTATACTTGCATGTTGACAAGCAAACTCGACATAAAATCCTCACTCCTGTGTTACGCCCAAGCACATTCCGTTTTGACAAAGTCACCTGTATCCCGTTAACTTTTGGGAATCACTGCATTGTCATGAGGATTCACTGCCAATCCAAAAATCACAATTCGCTAGCAGCATCTTGACCTATTGAATGCGTTGAACATGTTGATGTGTGTGTGTGTGTATGCGTTTTTTTTGTCAACATCTTCCACGCATCAGCTTGTTCAACCCACTTCAGTTTCCAACTAGTGGTTCCCAAATAGATAGAAACAGTCTAAACAGTTTCGTATATACATGTTGAAAAAGATTTACTTTTCTATTATTCATAGGCCACTGACTTGTGTTCCATGCCGTTGATCGATACGCTACCCGAAGGTACCCCGTGGTCTCCTCCCCCACATCATCGATCCCGGTGGCCACGGTAAAGGAGCGGGGTATCGGCACCGCCTCGCCTGAGCCACGACCCGAGCGCGTTGTGGGACCGGTGAGGCATGTGGTGGGGCTGATTGGCTGGAGTTGGACCGCTGGAGAAAGGGAAAGGAGGAGGGCGCTTATACTCTACGGATGTCTACGGTGATTTATGGCGATATGTATATCCGCCGACCCCAGCCGATGGATGGGGGAGCGCGCCAGAGGACACTGCCCCATCTGGAGGAAACTGCAGATCTTTTCAGGCAAGATAGCTGTGTTGTTCCAAGTACAGATCTCTTCAGAGCGCCAGTGTCGGAGCGGCCATCAGTAGCAAGATAGCCGCGTTTCTGGGGTGAGATTTGGATATCGGCGGAGTCCGGGTTTGGGCCTCGAGAACGGCGCATGGAAGCGAAGAAGAAGTCAGAAAGCAACGTTTGGCAGTGAGAGAGCAGCTAAATTGTTTACTGCCGTCAGAAAGCAACGTTTGGCAGTCACCGAGCCGCTCTGCGGGCAATTTTCGGGTCAGTTTTGGATTGGAATTCGATGATGGAAAGGCGTGGCGGAGGAGACGGGCGGGAGCCTTGGGAGTGAGTCTGTGTAGCTGTCCGGGAGTAGGGAAAGACGAATGATGGCTGTAAATATAAGATAAGTCTGTTACTGCCGTCAGAAACATACCATACCATAGTTGGGTGGCACCGTCCACCACCTACCACAATAATAAAGAATTATTTTGAGGTGGGTACACCCACCTATTTTTATTAATTCTGAAGGTCCGGACTGCCTAAAATAATGTTCCTTGATTTTCAAGGATCTTGTTAACATCAGACAACTTGGAAAATGGGGGGGGTCCTGGTGATTTACCAGGAGATTCATAGCAAGCGTCAAGAGCAAGCCACTAGCTAAATAGTTTGACAAGTTCTTTTTCTGCTGTCATCTGCTGCTTTCTCATTAGCGGCCTACGTGAAGCCATGGTCACTACGATGCGGTTCGTACACATTGTGCTCAACAGGCATGGCTTGATGATGAGGCTTTCGGACCTGCCCGCACGGCACACTCTACCCACGGTATCGCCTCCACAACGTAACCCCCACCTGAGTGCCGTCATCGAGGTAGCCGGAGTTGCACACTCAGCTTCGTCGTCTTGCTTTGAACAACAACCTCCATGCCCTTGACTACCACATAGGGCCATTTCCCTTCAGCTTCGAAACTCGAGAACGCACGTTCACGTTGTTTGCTGAGAAGCGTTGCTGCATCCCCCATGCTGACGGCGAGCCAAACTGGAGGAAGGGAACTGGAGGAAGGGAACTGGGGGAAGGGAACAGTGGGAAGGGAACTGTGGGAAGAAGGGGCCTGTGGAAGGAGAACTGGAGGAAGGAAACTGCGGGAAGGGAACTGGAAGAATGGGATTGGATGAAAAGGACTGTGGGAAGGGAACTGGAAGAATGGGATTGGATGAAAAGGACTGGAGGAAGGGAACTGTGGGAAGGGAACTGGTGGAAGGGAGCTGGAGGAAGGGAACTGTGGGAAGGGAACTGGAGGAAGGGTTTTGGATGAAGGCAACTGTGGGAAGGGAACTGGGGGAAGGGAACTGTGGTAAGGGAACTGGAGGAAGGGAACTGTGGGAAGGGAAGTGCAAAAGGGATCCTATTCACAAAACAATCTTCTGAATCAAAACTTCACCAAACCATCTTGCGAATCCCAAAATTTCACAAAACCATCTTGTAAGTCATAATTCACAAAACCACTTTGTGAATTATAGCAATTCACACAAACCTTACTGTGAATTATCAAAAATGACCCAGCCATCTTGCGAACCTCAAACATGCACAAAGCCATCTTGTGAATCACAATAACTCACAAAACCATTTTGTGACACGAAAACCGGTCGTGGGCTTGGTTTTTTCAATCCCGGATGCTCAGGGTATCTCTACATCATATAAACATATTTATATCTAGGTGTGGACAATACTGCTCTCTCTGCCGACCCCTGCAGCCCGCTTCGTGGGGACGGGCGCTACCAGACACCATGTCGCCCATCCTTTTCACCCAGTCATACCTGAACAACGCAGCCACCAAACCAGACGCCGCGCCCGCGGTGCTTCACTCCCAGTCCAACCTTGCTTCGCACTACCGCTTCCTACCGTGACATTCTTGTGGGACGAGCTCTTGCCACCCCCTCCTGCCGCCTGCACCTCTGTCTTTCACACTCTTCACGACACATTCTTCTCAACCACCTTCGCCTCTGGACACGGCGACCGAAACAAACGCCGTGTCTCCCCTTGCTCTTCCTCCTCCGCCCCCTGCTCCTCCCCCTTCACAACCTCCTCCTCTTCCCTCCTGCTCCACTTGACCATCCTGCGCTGACCTCTGCTTCCGCACTCCTTCCCGGGCTAACTCTGATATAGCTGCACCATTCTACTCTGATCATGATCCTTTTCAAGCTCTGGACTTTTCCATGAAGTTGGTCTCCAATTCTCTTCGGGAGCTGAGGTGTCCAACAAGGTGAATCGTTTAAAGACCACCTTCACCAAAACCCGACCACTTCTGGAGGGTTTGGACCCTGCTTTTTGCAGGGGTTTGGACCCGAACCAAACCTTCACCGGCTGAGGGCCCTTGATTCTTAGGGCAACCAATTATTAGACTCTGACATGATCCAAAAAGAATATATATATATATATAGTCGAAGGTTCTGAATGATTCTGAGGTAGCTTTTTGCTTTGTAACTGTTCTTCCAAGCCAGAACAGTTCGCACTGCAATACCCATGATGTTGGAACACATCTCTGCCGCACTGCAATGTTCTCGTGAGAATGTCAATTCTTTAAAACACGGATACGCAAACAGTCTGGGACTTATCCCTAGGGCTCCTGGCCCATCTCCTCAGAAGGTGGTTAGACCCCGCTGGCACCCACCCCAGTCCCACCTTCTCAGGAGGTAGGCCAGGAGCCCTGGGTTATATAACAGTCGTGATGTGCTCCATGATCTGCGACGGGGTGGCTGATGAGATGTTTCCCCTTACGTACGTACTTCCAACCAGTCGACTGGGACAACAGATCCAGTGCTCTCGAGTTGCTATTGTCTGACCTCCAATTCTCCTCCAAATGAATCCATTGCAGGAGCTCCTGAACAGGGCATGGTGGCTTCGCCAGTAGGTGGCTGGCTTCTCATCCCCTTGGTGTTTATTAGTCCTCTCTCGATCTGCAGGATTGTCTCGAGATCTATCTCCGTAAGAGACAAATGCCGATGTTACTTTTGACTTGCTCAAACTATGTTGCTCTGGGCCCCCCTCATCGAATAAAGAAAAGTTATATAATATAGGTCCAATGGGCTCTGTGCTCAAGTCCTCTTTCAACAAGGGAATCTTAACGTAATCAACTGAAAGAAGCTGGTTAATATCCCCCGTGCCACAATGAAAGCTTTGCATGCTCTCTTTGCCTTTCGACTGCCTCGACCTGCCGGGCTTTGTCCAGTACTTTGATGTCACAGATGCCCAACTGGTGAAGACTGGTGTAGGAAAGCCGCTGTGAAGTGAGTGCGCCCAGTTCTCTGGGGAGCCGCTTAGCTTTGCATGTGCCAGTCGGAGATGTGAGATGCATGGGCTTTTCTTTTTGTTGTTTCTCCGTATGCATCACTGGTGCCAATGGCAGTCGTGGCGCCCCAGTTGCCCGCAGGGAAGGCTGACACCGTTGTGCCGATGGTGGGTTCGTCGCTGAAAGAGGCTGCGAGTAGGCAAAGGTCAAGCACTTCTCACCACGAGGCTCAAAGGTCGAAGAGCAAGCAGCGTCCTCTGCAGGTCCTCTGTTAGGGTCGCATGGTGGCAGAAGAACAGACTCCGCGAAAAGACTCCGCGATGAAATCTCCGTGGCCGTCAAGCACCCCACCCGCAGAAGAATCGTCAATCCGCAGAAACTGGCCTCTTGCAGATTGGCCCCCCACATGGGGGAAACCAATGGGCAGGACGAAGCCAACCAACGCTCTGGTGCTGTCACCGTCGAACATGGGTCGAAGTTTGGCCATAGAGAAGGTTGGGCCCTCGCATCAAGGTGATGTGCCACCCAGATGCTCATGGGCATCGGACCCTCATATGGAGGGGTCTGGGGTTTCTCACCAAATCGCTAGGTTTTGAGGGACCTATCGGGCTTTTCACCGAGCGTCTGGGAAAAAAAAAATACAGGTATGAGGAACTGAGTTTCGATCCCGCTCGCCCAGCTCGCGAGCTCGTCTTCGCTGACTCTCAGCATGTGGGCATCCCCTCATCGGACGTATGTGTTTTTGCTTCGTGAGGCAATGTGTGGATGACATTGGATGACAGTGAGTGTGTGGATCCGATCGGATGAGTGCATCACTGAGAGCTGGATTGACTAACCTGGAAAACCAGTCCCAAGGTGATCGTTGAAGTGAGTTGAGAATCCTCCTTGCACTTTCTGCCATCTGCGTTGGACTCATCTGCCATGAAAACATATGAAAACGTAGCATACAGCCCACATTTGCCTGTGACCTCCGCTTAAGTAAACCATGCCAACAAAGCTTATAAAACCTTCTAAACCTTGCTATAGCTTTGCCCCAAATTCTGCATCAAGCGGCGTGCACCAAGGGAACTAGCCGTTGAAAGAGGGCACCAGCGACAGCCTCACTCCCAAGCCCGGCGGCCACACCTGCACTGTCCCAGTGGTGCTGCCCACATACGCCGCGTTGTCCTCGCTGCGCCGAGTTCACGCTGCTTTTCAGGGAGTGAGGGATCCGTCGTCCCCATCGCAGAGGGATCGTCGTCCCCAGGCTGGGAGCTGGAAGGTTTTACCATATTGATGTTGAGGTATTTGACCCAGTGCATCCCAGTTGCCACTATATAAGGAACCAGGGATTCTAGGTCTATGGTTTCAGTCTTTGGAACCACTGGTTACCAGCTATAGTGGTAACATGGATGCCTTGGGTGAGGTATGTGGGTGTACATAAAATTCACTTCGACCCCATTGAAGAAGGGAAAATATTACAAACACCCATTGGTCGGCGCCTGAGACAGCAGCAAGCTTGAGCAATTTGTCTTTTTTTTGGAAAAAGAATGTAAAACACGTCGATGACAGGAGTCCACACCACTTGGATCAAAAGACAGGCACGTTCATAGACAGGCGGCAGGCGCGTGCTTCCTGTGTGGAAAGGACACCTCGAAAAGGAACTGGTCGCTCTATAGAGATGGGCCTTGATGTTTGACCAGTTCTGAGGAATCATGACACCTCATGGACACCTTGAAAACACCAAGGGGTTCAAGGTTTTGACCTATTTCGGGTGTAGGAAAGTTTGCTCGAAATGCACCCGAAGTCGCCCCAACATTGAGACCAATGTGGTTCCAGCCAGGCCTTCATGCACTGGTATGCACAGTATGTCTGGACAAAGAGTTGTCCTTCAACCTCAAACAATTTCAATGGGCAAGGATCTCCATCCAAAAGATCCCCAAAAGTGGTCCAACCACCTGCTGTTCTCAGGACGACGCACGTCTCTGTCTCTGCAGGCTTACGGCGTATAACAGCAGGCTTAAGTCGACCGACCCGATCAAAGAAACCCAAACGGACTCGAACTGGCTGGCCCAAGGACTCCTGCGTCAACCCCCAAAAAGGCTTCCACCGATCCGCCACCACCGCATCCACAGATCCACCAGCACCGCTTCGGTCAGTGCGGTCCAACGACAAGGAGTCTCCCAGCTCACCGACCCCACAAAGGAGACCAGTGGATCCCAGTGAAAATGAGGATGAATGATGTGTGGTTCTTCTTCTTCTCAAGCAAATTCCACCCCAAAACCCACGGCCTCCGTCCGGCGAAACAAAGCGTCTCTTCTCTCGCACTGAGCGCCCCCCACCGTCTCGGGCAGGGCGAAGCCGGTGAGTCCCGGCGGCAAGGCGCTGGTGCTGGCGGACTCGGCGCCGCTCGCCCAGCCTGGACGTGTGGACGCCGGTCACGCGCCGGTCACGCGCCGGTCATGCCGCTCTCCCTATACTGTGTTCTACAAGCACTCTTCGTGTTAAACTCCTCCTCGTCCTGCTCTTCAATCAGCGATTTCTCCACCATTTAGCTCAAAGCCACCCCTTTTTGTCGCCCCCTTTTCGTGGCCCAAAATACTCCTCGTCTCCCCCGAAGTAGCAGTGCCCCAGGTGGGCGGGCTGGGCACACAGTCGCAAGTCAGTCTGGCATGACGCATCCTCCACTATAGACTCTTCCTACCAGACTTTCACCCCCCTGTTCATTGATAGACCTCGACCTGTCCCCACTTCCTCTCGGAACCTTTGCCCCACACCGAACACCCCAAATCAATGACGTCCCAACTTTGCACCTGAGCCATCAAAGTTGATCGCGCACATATAGGTTGGGTTGTCCTGGAGCATTCAACGCACAGCCGGTCTCAACCAAAACACCCGTCGAGTCGTGTGCCATTTGATCGAGAAGTTCTCCAGTGGATAGGTACAACTGCAAAACAATAATGCTTACTGACATCTGGCTCCTTTGGTTGCGGTTTCTGGCTGGGATCCAGCTTGAGAGAAGAGTGAGAGACAAAGGACAAGGACCAGAAATACACTTAAAATACTGTTTGATGCAGCTACCAAGACCATGTTGCTGATGCCAAAGAAATCGTACCGCTCGCCGCTCGCCTTGGAGCCAGAGAAGACGAGGATCTGATCTCCGCTGATGGACAAGGAGAACGTGCCTCTACCGGGGGACAAGAAGGTGTGATGAATACGAGGTTTCCAACGTCAAGTTGCTAAGGGGGTTGGCTAGGGTCCCCAGGGTGGCTACACTTCTGGCTAGCTGGAAAGTGAAGAGGAAACCGCCTGAGTTCATAATCACGAAAGTAATTAGTCTTCCAATGGTCCAACTCGTGACCATGCCATCTGCTTCCATGTGTTCCTCAGACTGTCAGAGTGTAGAGAGTGTAGACCTTGGGCTGAAAAGGTCTTAAATGTACAGGGTCCTTATAAGGAAAGGTGTGCGTGTGTGTGTGTGTGGCGTGTGTTGTGTTCTGTGTTGTTTGTGTGTGTGTTTGTGTGCTGCAAGAGCAAATAACGTGCGGAGGGAAACTCTTGGTCCGTCAAAACAAACACTCCGGGAGGCACGTGCTCATGCAGGAGCATGTCAAAATCAACCAGGCACCACCATCAGTAGATAGCATGCACAAGTCACAAGTCCCGCAGAAAAATCTGTCATTTCGAAACACGAAAAGACTGACTAAAGCAACGTCAAAACATCTCAAACAGGACTCGTCTCTCATCCACTTCCTGTCTTCCTATCTTCCCCCAAGACCCAAGACTCTTCCCCCTGGTACCGTTGCTTCTTTTCCCCCACCCAATACTTTCCACCCCTTGCCTGAGACGCTGCTGAAGTTCTCCAGGCTCAGCACACTTCCTGCCGGCAGCTCCTCCGAGGCCTGACCCACCCCGCGCCGCGCGCCGCGGCCGCATGCGCCCGTCGTGGTCCGCCCAAGGGTGGCTCGGAAGGGCAAGACCGGCGGAACGGTTTCCGTAGCTGCACCCCGTCAACGGGTACCTATAAATGGAGATTGATTGGTCAACCGGATCCTTCAACAGTTTGAAGATGTTCCCAGGTCCTTGTTTACTTGCCCTAGGGCTCCTGGCCCATCTCCTCAGAAGGTGATTAGACCCCCCTGGCACCCACCCAGGTCCCACCTTCTCAGGAGGTAGGCCAGGAGCCCTAGGGTTGGAATCCCGCTGGTTTTGTGCAGAGCCAAGGCATCCACTTGGTTTCGTGGGATGATCGACGCCGCCGTGGCCTGACGGGACTCCGTCCCGTCCCACCGTGCAGATCGAACGTCCAAAAGTGATGAACCCTCCGACCTTATAGGACCCTACAAGGGTACCTATAGGAGAGTCTATAGGGTTCTTCAACCTCTGCTGGCTGGGAGAGTAAGGGATCCTTTCAATCGGTGCCACCAACCGTTTATCGTCCATTGATCATCAATCCATGCTCGAAGTTTTCTGCACTGAGGAAGTGGGGTCAACCTATACATCATCTACTAGACTGTTGTCACCTGGAAAGCCAGGCCCAACCAGAACCAGTTCTGGATGTTTCCCCCGATCCCAGCCATTAAGGTATATAGTATATATAAAGGATCGAAACATGTCCATATTGGAACAACCATGTCTTTCTGGTTCTTCTGGATTCGGAGGCACATCCATCCATCCATCCATCCATCCTTCCTTCCTTCCTTCCATCCTTCCTTCCTTCCTTTCATCATCAGATCCACCACCGCGCCGCATCCAGGCGCCGTGGACCCGCCTGGAATTGCAAGAGGCCCTCCCCCTCTCGCAGCACGCCGCTGGCCGAGCACCCGCCATCCGTGACGTAGACGCTGCTCTGGGGAGCTAAGGCTTCCAAGAAGAGGAGGCCGAAGTCGTCGGGATTATCCTCGCTGGGTGATGGCGCGATCCTCTAGCTAGCTTGCACCAGGGGGTTGTTGGCCCCAGGCCGGGTATGCCATCAAATCAGGTATGCTTTAAAAAAAATACAAATTCCAGTGTCCACTCGTAAAAAAACACAAATTATAAATAAATCATATGATGAAATCGGACTCAGAACCGCTGGACCTCTGGATCTTTTTCCGCTTCAACCCACCGTCCGACTCCGCTGCCGCCCCAGCTGCTGCATGGAAGCCCACCCGCGCACAGCTGTCGGCACCCAGCTGCTGGGGTGCGACGGTGGTGAAGGCCACGCAGTCGGTGCAGCTGCCGTTCAAGTGCATGCCTGGAAGCTTCAGTCGACTCAGCTAGGTCCGGCTAGGGTTCGGAAGGGGTGTGTGGATCACCTGACACCTGAGACATGCGAAGCTAGGTCCGGCTAGGTCTGGCTAGGGTGCGGACCTAGGTCCGGCTAGGTCGGTTTCAATCGACCGTTCGGGAGGTTCGGGAGGCTATGTTGGATCAGGGAGACTATAGACTCATATATGATATATGTCAAGAAACAAACCTTGTCCATGGATTGTACCACGTGGTTTCAGAGGTGAGAAATGAAAGCAAATCCACCCAAAGATGTCTTACTTCGAGGGTATATGAAACACCTCGGGATTGCATCGAAGCTCATCACTGGACCGGACGCGACCTGAACGCAAGACGCCGGTCCGGTCCTTGGACCTCGTTGGCCCGAACCAGGTCGGTACGGTGAGCCCAGTCGTACCTACCGAACCTGAGAAGGTATAGGGTAGCTGCTGGAGAGGAGCTGTTCTTTTCTTGGATGCCAAGTTACGGTTCTCTTCTTGCTGTTTTTGCGGTTTTGTCGCCTCTCTCTTTGGGAGTCTGTGTACAAATTGCAGCCCAAACAGAAGGAACAAGAGCAACAAAACCCTAGCCTTCTAGGATACATTTATTGTTTCCCCGGTGTTGGAATGTTTTGTAGTGTGAAAATAGTAGTGGCTCTTTGGGATTAATCCGATTATTAAAACCACCTAAAATGGCGGGCAAGAGAAGTCCTAGGGAGACACATGTAAAACTCCCCGTGCAAAGCTCCGGTCCTCTAACTTGTTTGATCCATTCTGTAGAGGTTGATTGGTACAGGGATCGCGCGCCACGTGTTCGAGTCTAGGTGAAAAACGCCACGGCCTTGAATGGCACAGGGATAGTGTTGTAAAATTTGAGGACTGGAATGTGCTGTTTTGTTTTACATGTCAAAGGTGTTGAAACATGTACAGTATGTGTTGTTTGCTCTTTTGTACACGTCACAACATGTCCTCGCCAACCTCCGTCCATGGTCCCTTACCACTTCGAGTGGCACAGCTCCACAGGGTAATGGTCAGAGAGCTCTTTGGCCACCTGCCCGACACAGCGGAGGGACATGGCCGACGGACATTTGGGCATTTGGCCTGCTGCAAAACACATTCATCTGGACAGCTTTGGAAGAAACATTATGAGATTAATTTTAAGTAATAGTAATATATTGATATGCGTTATCATATTAAATATAAATGTGTGTATGACTTTGTATTTACATGCATCATGTGATAAAGACACACCTGCAAATGGATGCAAGCTGGCATATCTGTTGGTCTTCGTACGAAAACGCAGTCCGACTGTGACATGTCTGGTGGTCAAATCCATGGACCAATGGTTGATTGACAAACAATGAACATCAACACGCCAGTCACAGAGCTCGGGGTGAGAGTATCCACTCACTCATGGGGACTAAGGCCCAGCCTGAAGGCGAATTGGGTGGATATGGAAACAGGGAGGACCCTCCGGTGTCGCCACCACACCAGACCCCTCGAGGTCAAGGCTGACCGGCTAAGACCCAAGCCGGCGCCGGGATCGACCGATGTTCAAGCAGGTGATCTTCCCCGATCTATTAAGCAGTCAGCATTTGGCCACGGAGATTGGCCAAGTCAGGCCAAGAAATGTCTAACTTGGTTGCTTTGAGCCCCTTTGTGTGTGACAATATGTGGCACCACAAGTCTGTGGAGTTTATTTTGAACTCAACGAAGCATGGTGACACCCGTGGATTTTGCAGCTCCTTCCCAGGCTTCTGCGCTACTGGAAGTCCTTTGCTGGAATACAAGTGCCACTTCGCCTCATGCCACTCCACAGTGCTGCTGCTGCAAATGTCGCTGGAGATGTAGTCCTGGGCGCAGCCTTCTGCTAGGACTCCTGTTGAAGCGGACAAGCGAAAAGAAGCGGTGCATGGAGTGCATGGAAAGCTTTGAGGGGTTTCCCTAATACATCTTCACGGACCACGAATCAGCTCCGTAACCTTCCCCCTATAAGCTCCAACACTAGCGCCAACATTCCTCAACTCCCTCAAAAACTCATGGCCCAGGCTAACGCCAGGCGATTACATCCTCCACTCATCGCGACTGGTGAAACGCGCGAGCGCCGCAGCGATGTCCTGAGAGGTTCAAATGATCTTCCAACTTGTAGACAGCACAGCCCGAGGCCTCTGGGGCGACACCACGGCAGGGGAGGTAGGTGCATGGTGTAGGCGGTGTAGGTGGGTGGCCATGTCGAGTCGTTTTGGGTTTGGGTGTTTTCATTTTCATGAACCCACAGAGGGAAGAGGGAACAGTGCAAGCAACAAAGAACACATGGCCTGACAATTGATGTTATTCTTATTCTTGCATGGTGCTTGTTGGTTCTTGAGTCCTTGATTATTACGCTGCAAAACAACTGTGCTCTAGTCGTAAGGCCTTCCGCTCTTTCCTCCTCCGTCCACAAATGACTCGGCTCGACTCGTCGACTCGTCAGACCTCCATGGCAGAGCTCACGATGATGCGGTCCTTGGCACGAGACGTCCAGACATGGACAGGCACCGAAGAGGTGTCGTGTTGCCCCAGTTGATGGAAGGCCGCTGCGCAAGGTTGAGAGGTCCATCTCCATCTGCAGGTCTCTATGAATCAACCGTTTCCATGATAAATGACTCCGCAGCTTGACGTCCGACGTGGACGTCACGTTTTTGGAGGCGTCGACGAGCTAGCAACTATGTAGCAACCAATGAAATCCGATGCTTGATGAAACAGGAAGCATTTCAGGTGCAATCTGCACTGGTCCCCAAATCCCTGTGAATGGTCCAGATCTTATAAGAAGCTATTAGGTTGGAAGCCATTACTACTAGGTTGGAGGCCATCGCTACTAGGGCGGAGGCCATGACATGCCATGACTACTGACTAGGGTGGAGGCCATGACATGCCATGACTACTAGGGTGGGGGCCATGACATGCCATGACTACTAGGGTGGAGGCCATGACATGCCAT